CATCGGAGCCAGACGCTAGCAGCCGGCCGTCAGGCGAGAAGGCCACTGACCGGACCCAGCCTGAGTAGCCCTCGAGAGTCTGCTGTAGCGCGCCCGTCACCGGGTCCCAGAGCCGTACAGTTTCATCATCGGAGCCAGACGCTAGCAGCCGGCCGTTAGGCGAGAAGGCCACTGATTGAACTGAGCCTGAGTGGCCCTCGTGAGTCTGCTGTAGCGCGCCCGTCACCGGGTCCCAGAGCCGTACAGTTCTATCATTAGAGCCAGACGCTAGCAGCCGGCCGTCAGGCGAGAAGGCCACTGATCGAACCGAGCCTGAGTGGCCCTCGAGAGTCTGCTGTAGCGCGCCCGTCGCCGGGTCCCAGAGCCGTACAGTTTCATCCTCGGAGCCAGACGCTAGCAGCCGGCCGTCAGGCGAGAAGGCCACTGATAGAACCGAGTCTGAATGGCCCTCGAGAGTCTGTAGTTCTGGACTCCAGGCTTCCTCAACCTGTGGTAGCTGACAACACCAATTCGGAAGCTCTCTCCTAAAATGTCGGTGAAGTATCGCCTTTCGCGGTGTGAATATCAGTCCGGAACAGTAAAGCTGAAGAGGCGCAACCTCAGCTATCTGGCAGCTTCTCAGAATAAAGCGCTTTGCATCACGCAGAAACTCGGACATTGAAGAATTACCGCTGTCCTATACTTGTCAGACTCATTTTAGATAGTAATTTTCATAGAAACTCACAGCAACAACTGTCTGTAAGAGATTAATGCTCCCCACAATGTCAGATATATAGCATAGGACACTCATTGCTTCCATCCAGTGCAAAAAGTGCTCCTGAAGAAATGATAGTGCCTGAGACAACACAAACTGTAGGTCCTTACTCCGCACGAGGTGATACGCCCAATAACGACAGGAGTATTGTAACTCTAAAGAGAGAGAGTTGTGGATAATCTGATGACTAATCTCCGCACGCCTTGACCCATCACTTGGTAGTCCACATATATTCTTTCTCAGACCATCACACATCAGGCTAAGGCAACGTGTAGTTAACTTCTGTTGTGTCTCTTCCTCATCTACCCAGAAAGGAGTTTCATCTCGCATCTCTGGATCAAGAAGGAAGTCTCGAAATGACAGATGAAAGGGGCGTACTGGCAGATTACTATCCTCTGGTACACTCAAAACTGAATGTAGCGATTTCAGCCTAAGACTAACCCGCCTCTCTGGAAGACCAATCAGCCTTGAAAGCGAGGTAACTGGCAGTGGAGTCTCAAGCATCACGGTCGCACCGATGACGCTTTGGAATTCATCGACTAGTTGTTTTTCCTGTTTTTTACTCTGTCCTTTAAGAAGTCGATTTAACACAGGAAGATACGTCCCTTTGAGTTGAGATCCATCACTCCGATGTGTAAGGATCTCCGTCAGACTATCAACCGGGTCCCACTGAGGATCCTCAAATATACGGCACACAGTAGCAGCGAAGATGAATAGTGGCACTGATAATGTCACGAGAGCCTGTAAATCCATGACTCCAGGCCAGTCAATAGGTAGAGACTGAATCTTCCGAACATTTTCAAGTCGGTGATTGAAGAATAGCGATATATCATGTGCTGTCACAGCCTCAGGAATCTGATGAAGAGCAAGGTCCCGATAGTCATCATTTGCCATTTCCGAAAACCCTAGGCGAATAGGGAGTTCTGGCCGACTGGTCAAGAAGATCCGTAAGCTCAGAGCATTCGACTGCTGTAGCTGTGGTAGTAATTGGAGGATAGTTCGTATGTCATCGTCTTGTTCACATTCGTCCAATGCGTCTATCACGATTACCACAGTCCGTATTGGATGATCGGATTGTTCTAATTTCCGGATTGGTCGAAGTAGTAGATTGTCGAACTGTTGCCTAAGTGACTTCATCGCAATGTCCGGCTCGTCGTAGATTGCTTCTTGGAGACAAGGCATTAATTGAGGGATGCTCTTCACCAGTTGTCTTGTCACAGTGGGAAAAAGCTTCATCGTATTCCCTCTATCCCCCTCACCCCTCCTGAAAAAGAAGCTTGCCACTAGCACATTGTTTTCTTTGAAGTGTTTAGCCACAGTGCGGGAGACGGTCGATTTCCCTGTCCCAGCCATTCCATTTAACCAGAAGATGCATTTTCCCTGTGGTGACATAGCCCATTCTGTAATCTCATTGAGAAGACCCGTCCTAGTGCCTAGAAGACATTCGTCTTCATGCTGATCCATATAAGAATCGAATTCGGCCCCATACGCAATTGGTAACTTGTCCAGAGGGTCTGCATTCGGTCAATAAAGTCCCTCGATTGGAAAATCTGTCATAATGTACCTGCATTAAGACTGAACTGAGCATTGATTGTGCCCGTATTTATGCCTGTTTGTATTCCAGAATTGTAGTCATGGAAAGATACCGTAGACGCCATGATTTGATAATACCACAGTGTAGTTCAGTATTCAGGAGGAACATGTGGGTGGGGTAATGGCAGTGGGGTAGCCTCAACCTATCGTCATGTGACGACTCACTCGCCATTTGGCGGATGGAGGATCTCAAACTACGCGCGTGCTGGTTAATCTCACTCTCTTTCACGTGATCCAGCATACACATTATTATCTATTGGACGTCAAATTATTGTAGGCGAAGGCTCTTTGACGAGGATACCAAGTAAGAAAACGGAACCCAATCCTCTCATCGCATCCAGATTCATCAACATATATAAGGCGATACGACACGAAGTCGGCTAAGTTGCGAAGGTAGATTTCTCGTAAGTTGGCAATTTTTTCCTCAGCCTTCTGTCGGGTGGTCTTCTTGGACTATCCTTTCGATATGAGGGCCCTTCTAATGCTGGAGATGGTCGCTAGCATTCGGAATTCATCCCACAGAAAGATAACAGGTACAGGCCCGGCTTTCCCAGAAGATGGTCGCAGAGTGATTCTAGCATCGATGGTGTTATGCTGCAGCTGCGCCCGATACGAGTTGGGGGGAGTATGGACGTGTCCAAACAGTCGCAAGTTCCTGCAGATATTTCTGACTGTCTGTCCGCTGCATTCTGCTGCCTCGGCTATTTGAGAACGGGTTAGCGACTGGCTTTGATCATTCACTGACAGAAATCAACTTTGATGGGTTGAGTCTGGGTGCCATGTTAAGTGGAAGATTTGAGCAGTCCTCAGACAGAGAGATGCGAAGGAGGAAAATGTCACGGTTTTGGAGAGCAAAGTGTACTGTAAGTGTATAGGGATTTCGTGTAAAATACGTAAATGATACGTAAAGCGATTCTAGGCAGGGCTATTTATAGCGACAATTATTTTATGTCGTTACCTAATATAGATTAGCGTAGTTTTCGGGTACGGACCGAGAAACAAAGCGTGTGTGTCTGGGGTTAAACTGTTTCGAATTCTATCCTGGCTTCAATCTAGTTGTGCAGAAATTTTTTTACTCCAAAAATAAATTTATTAAATATTTTCGTTGAATATTCAATAATAGTGACCTGATTTAATTCCGACCGCCATCGATCCTTCAACTGGACTTTGACGCTTTCAGGGTCTAATCTTCAACGCGACTCTTCCCATCTCTATCTTATACACAACCTTCTATAATATCAAACAGATAGGGACGGTTTTAAATTGAATAACTTCTTTTTATACTTTGATCGTCGAGCGCCGGGCAGTTCATGATATTGATCCAATGAAAAGTGGGCAAGCAGGCCCACCTTCACGTGTCACAAATATATTCTTATCAGATGTCGTTCTAAGTCTCTTTGTCCTTCGCTCCAATGACAAAGCCTCGTATAAATGGACAATCGAGTCGCAGAGAATGTTCTCGGTACTCTGGGCGCGGTGAGTTCCATTTCCCCGATTGGTAGATCAAACTAATCTATTCTTTCTAGGTTTGCTGGTCTATCCAAGTATGCGGTTGCTGTGTGCCTATTTTTGAGCACGCGCTAATCCCCTTATACAGCTCCTTCCTCAAATAATCATAAATTACAGGAGACATAACACTGAAGGGCTACAAGGGTCGATGATGCTCTTGTGGGCTGTAGCAGGGGTTCCCCTCGGCGTGTACAACATTGTGGAAGAATTCAACATTGCCCTAAGGATTCAGCCCCAAATTCTGACGATACTGAGCCTCCTTACTTGGGCACAGTGTCTCTACTATGGAAAGGTAAATACTTTTCTTTATATCTAACATGATCCTCATAATACTCATTCAGAATCAGAAATACCAAATCATGAAATGCTGTTTCGCAGCCACTTCGCTTCTGCTGCTGTTGGGCGGCGTCGAAACTGGACTCATATTTGCCTTGCAGGCCGCAAAAGGCCACGGACTGGAATGGCCTCTCATTTTGATGGCAGTTTTGAGTGCGTGTTTACTTGCAGGAGGTGTACTGAGACATTACTGGGATATTTACGTCCACCGGACTGTTCGAGGAATCAGCTTCATATTTGTTGGAATTGATGCTGCTGGGGACTTTTTTTCGCTCATCTCTGTTTGTGGGTCAACCTCATCATCAGGTAGAAATAGTCAATGGCTAATATGCAGGAGTGTTTGGGTCGTCTATTGATGTTCTTGGGATAGTTATCTATGGAACTGAATTGACACTTTGGGTGGGCATATTTATCTGCGGTGCTATTTTCAACCTCCGGCCCTGGATTAAAGAGAGCCCCGAGCAGCGAGATGGCAATCCCCAGGACCCGGTGTCTCTGCATCCGATGCCATCGTCGACTTCTGTGTTCAGGACCGCGTCCGGATCTCAAGTGATGGGAAGAAAGCCATGGCAGAGTTCATAAAGCATTAACAATTCATCATTTAAATACTTTGACATAAATTACGATTCCTCATTCATGTATCAAACGGTGTGTTTCTTTCGTTGATACTGTCGTGATGGCCACCTTCGTCTAATGTAGTCTCGATCACTTCGACGCTTACAAACTGGTAAAGTTCTGTAGAGCTCGAACAATGGAGGTTGTTAAGCAAGTGGAGCTAAGAGCGGGTGGTCAGATTCAGTTTCAACTTTATCTCAGTGCTAAAAAGTGTTCCGCCGCATGCCGGACCCGCTTGCTTTCTCGGGATATACACATCTTCTTGTGTGGCTGTGCCAAGAAACCTCAGAATCGCATGTCAACCTTGCCACAATGTCTTGTTTCTCGTTGTCGCCCGTTTCTCGTGCATATTCTGGCCCGATGGACGGCAGTGGCCTTTGCCTACAATTTCGCCTTGCTCGCCTTGCTCGCCTTGCTTGCCTTCGGACGCCTCCCCGTATCAACATCAGACCACCAAGGAAAGCTAGGCGGTGCATCGCCCTCAAGAGTTGCATTGAAATTTGGTTTTCGTTTTTCGAAGAATGCTTTGATGCCTTCCTTTGAGTCCCTATAACACTGTCAGTATTGTTCATGTCATGGACACCTTTCCAGGAAGGTTTGACGAAACGAGGCGGAGAAAGCATACTTCCCACTAAACATATGGTATAACACTGCCGAATCAACGAGGTGAGTCTCCTCAGCACTTCCTGGGTTCCGCCACATGAGCTCCCGCGAAAGATATGATGCCATCGGGCTAACATTCTCTGCAAGTTCCGTAGCAAGTTCCAACGCACGTGCGACTACCTGATTTGGATCAGGGTATGTCTCCTGGAATAACGTCCCAAAGTGCGGCGACGTAGGCGGAAAGGTGCCGCCGGTTGTGATTAAGTAAAGAGCATTGGAGTAACCAATCAACCGCGGGAGAAAGAATGATGAGCTTGATTCCATCGTCAGACCCCGTCGCGGGAAGACAAACCCGTACTTGGATTTCTGACAGCCAATCCGTATGGCAGCTGGCAGAGACATTGTCATGCCCAAACCAACAGCGGAGCCTTGCATGGCCGCTATAGTAGGTTTGCGACAGCGGTGGATGGCTAAGGCGAGACGGCCACCGCTATTGATATCGGTATTAACAGAATTGATACATGCGCTATGGGCTGGAGCTTCGCTATCTTACCTATCGCGGTGGTCCTTGTTTCTCTCCTTCTCCATTCCACTGAATCCTCGCTCAAGATCTGCACCAGCGCAGAACATTTTGCCAGCACCGGTAAGCACCACAACTTTGACGCGTTCGTCAACATCAAACATAGGGTATATCTTCTCAAACACATGCATCATCTCCAGAGTGAATGAATTATGCTTTTCCGGTCGGTTCAGCGTCACCACAATAACAGGGGTGGCTTCAGGGGCACCGGCCGGGTGGTGGGAGACTTTGACATCGGTCAACGGGAGAGTCTCATAAGACTTGGGAATGTCGACAGTGTCTGGGTCGAAAATCATTGTGATCACAATATATGAACCAGATTGCAGTTTACTTCGCCATTCGCTGAGTTATATATGATAACTTATATATCAGACCACGCCTCGGCTTTTACCTAGACATGCAGATTCGATCACTAATCATGAAGCCTAGCGAAACTGGGCCGTGGTTGACATATTGTGTGCGTGGGGTTGGGATTACATTATCTCGGAGCATATTGAAAGATAGCTAACATGTGTCCTAGAGGGTTAGACCTTTGGTCATGGGCTGATCCTAATGTATATACAGGCCGAAGTGGTATCACCACAATCGGCGATTTTCATATTAACTCCGACATAGCCATTTAGCTCTCCTTTATCACAGAAGGATATTCCAATCGTTCTCGGATGTGTTGAATCTCGCATCCATTTCAAGGTCTGTTCTCGGTCATTCTTCGCACCTCTTTTGTGAACAGGCCTGCTTTCAGTCGGTGATATGAATGCCGGACGTACATTCATGAGAAAAGAATGATGCGATTGCTTTCAAATATGGTCTGCCTGAATACATACATCGCATCCAATTCATCGTGTCATATGCCTAGCAAATGCCACAGCCATGTACTCCGTGGCATGATTTGGCGGGAAAACAGCCGATAGATAGGGAGTCCAGCCAGGAATATCGTTGCAAAAAGTATACGCTCTAATAGTTTCAAACCATTCAGGCTGCCAGCCTGCAAACTCCCAATCTAATACTGCAGTGACATGACCATGGTCGTCAACCAGGATGTTTCTCGGTGCCAGATCACCGTGGGTGAAGACCGTACTATCTTCTGACCGGCTAGTTCTCAAACAATTTTGCACAAGATCCGGGACTGAGGTAGTCAGTCTCGAAAACAAGTGCTCGTCTAGGTAGATTGGGCGGCGCGTGCATATATTTCTATGACTGAAATGCCCCGGATGCTCGTGCTTCAGCCTTTGTAGTTGCTGTATATATCCATGTAGTTCCTGCGCAATGGACATCTTTTGTGATGGGATCATGCTAGACCAGGCATCTTGCAGCGTCTGGCCTTCGATATAGTCCATTAAGATAGACTTAACGCCACCACCATGGATTTGAGTCTCGTGGACGTGGGGAATCGGGATGGTCGTGTTTTCGGAGACGTAGCGCATATTCTCGGCTTCAAGCTCTATATCTTGAGAGGGTCCATACTTAAGCAATCTGTCTTTGGCGACTCGTATAATCTTCCGGAGACTGCGTTCTTTTCGCTCTGAGTGCCTCCACTAGTTAACATGATGGAATTATCCGGGATCCCCTTTCAAAACATACTGACCCTCGCCAGAGACATCCATCGCGTCCGCGAAGACCGCCTCTTTGAGACCCCAACGGGAAACATGAGCCTAGAACCAATTATCAGAAAGTGAGGCACTATTTAATCCATGACCAATCACGTGGCCGGGAGGGGTCAGATATGCAGTTGGCTGGATGCAGTAATCTTGGAAGTTGGACATAGTCCGTAGTCCCAAGTCCAGTGGTTCTGACCGGTGGGGAGTGCGAAATAGAAGGAGGACGAGAAGGCAAGAATTACGAATGAGAGATAATATACTGCGTTTAGATAAGAGCACCATCCATTTTTCTACTCTATGTGGCGTGAATAGTCATGATCAGGAAAGCCTAGGTATATAGGCTACCCCTCATCTATCTAGTAGACAAGAATATTTAAACGAAAACCTTGGCCTCGCCGGCCTTCAGCTTGCCAGCATCAACAAGGCGCTGAGCCTCGCCAGACCAAGCGGTCTTGACGGCAGCACCATCGGTGCCGGCGATGGTGAGCTTCTCCGCCAGAGCGGCGAGCTCATCAACATCGATCTTGCCCATGATGAGGTCGACATCGGTGAGGACACCGTCGATATCAGCGGCAGTGGGCTCACCAGCGGCGAAGTAGTTGACATCCTTGACGGAACCCTTGAGGATACGCTTGTTCTTCTTGGAAGCGTTCTTAGCGGCCTCCTTGGCCTTCTTGGCCTTCTCACGGTCAGCCTTGGCGGCCTCCTCAGCGTCCTTCTTGCGCTGCTCCTCAGCGGCCTTGGCCTTCTCCTTCTCCTCCTTGAGACGGCGGATCTCCTCCTCCTTGGCGAGGCGCTTAGCGTCCTTTCCGGCACGAGCCTGCTGGCGGAACTTCTTAATACGCTCATCGGAAGCGAGACACTCGTCGACGAGCTCACGCAGACGGACGGTGTCCTCGGTCTTGCGCTTGCGGCGGGCGTTGGCGTTCTTCTTCTCGACATGACGCTTCTGGTCGCGGCTCTCTCCATCATCAGGCACGTCCTCATCGAGGTACTCGAAAGTCCTCCAGCTATCAAAGTTGTACCAGAAGTTGTAGAAAGTCTCGACATGCTCCTGGGTGCTGTTCTCGTCTCCGAGTGTGGGCACAGGCTGCTTGTTGGAGAAGCGACCCTCGGCAACGAAAACAGGGTTCCAGGCCTTGTAGAACTTGCTACCAGTGAGCTTCTTGCTAGGGGGCTCAACGTCGGCGTTCTCATCGACGGAATCGAACTGGCGGCGACGGGTGGGGTCAAGAAGCAGATCGGTGGCCTTCTGAATACACTTGAAGAAGCTGTCGTTCTCGTCGCTCTTACCCTGAGCGGCCTTCTTGTCAGGGTGATGACGCAGGACCTTCTTGCGGTGAGCCCGCTTGATCTGCTCGGGGGTTGCACGCCAGCGGTACTTTTTCAAACCCAAGACGGCGTAGTGATCTTGGCCCTGCGAGGAGTTAGGAATAACCAACCAGAATAAATGTTACATTACTGACCTTCCAGTCCTTTGCCTCACGGGCAAGCATCATAGGGTCCTCATCTTCAGAGATATCATCATCCTCCTCAGTCTCGGTCTTCTTGACGTTGTTCTGGGCCTGAAGGCGCTCATCCTCGGAGAAAGTACGGTTGTGACGAGACTAAAGGGTCATTAATTTTGATGAAACAAAAGAATGAGTGGATTTGGAGAACTTACTCGGCGAGCGTGAGCCAGGAAGTGCGGGCCAACGGGCTCCACGGTGCGCTTGGTGGCACCAGACAGAGCACCGACAACCTTGAAATCCTTCTCACCAGCCCAGCCCTGAGGCAAGGTAGGGAGGGAAATGTCAACAACTTGAGCAGCAGCCATTGTATAATGGTATTGGTGATGGTACCAAGTTGTGTGTGGAGAGCGTCGGGTCCCGCGATGGAATTTTTTGCATACCTTTTTTTCTGCCCCAAATATCCGCCCCTATAGCCAATCACGGGCTAGATGTTTTGGGGTTTCGAGATTGGCGATGGCGCCAGGTCTTGCATCTTCTGTTGGCTTGTACATTCAAATTTTCTGGTCTGGTCTATCTGTGTTCTTGTTCAGAGGATTGTAACCTGCATCATATTTACAGTATCACCGACAACTTCATCCCACCTCCTTGTCCACGCCAATCATCCGCAGTCACAATTGCAACCTGTGCTTCTTGACTTGTTCCTAAATACACCCACGTCTATACTTCTCTGTGACATTCCGCTTTTCACTATGACCACCTCCACTGCCGCTGCCGCTAAGAGTGCCTATCGGCAACTCCTCCGGTCTACCCGGGTTGTCTTCCACAGTTCGTTTGACAAGCACAACAGCCACGGAGGCACCTGTTTCTCTCATACTGACGTCCGCTATAGACGATCTCCCAGTCCTCATCGCAGCGCGCCAGGAAGCGCGCCAGAACTTTGAGAAGAACCGCCGCCCCGCCGTGGACACTGGAATGCAAATCAACCATGCGATCGAGGTTGCAAATATCCTGCGCCACAACATCGTCCAAGGCTCCAGGGAGCAGGGAGACGAAGCTGCTAAGTGGGGTATGTATTTCATTAATGCCACGGTTCCACTTCGTGGCTCAGTACTGATAGTGCTCATACGGACTGTTTACTAACGAGCGATTGTTTCTACAGAACTCAATATCCACGACCAGATCGAACGCGGTGATAACGACTCTATCAAAGTCGGCAATCAGGATGTGAAGATTCATAAGGCTTGCTCGTCATGATTTCCTGACATGCTCAGTTGAATCTGAGCGCACTCTCCCGAGTCCATTCAAAGTCCAAAAGCCACACTGAAAAGCGTCAAACCCAGCCTGCCAGCCTGCCAGCCTATTCAAACTGATGGCATATGTAAAATAGGCTACGATTGTGACCGGACATGTATTATAAGATACCCGACTCTTTCATTCATTGGCGTCTTCGGGGTATTTTGATTGAAGTACATAGATCTGCATAGAATAATCCAATCCTTGGTAACGCCCGCTCCCAACCCTAAGTCACATACAACCTCAATTTGGTTTAATGGTATCTCCGCACAAGTTTTGTTCAATCGCCATTCATGCTGGCGTAGTGGACCTCACCCGATCCAGGGGGCGGTGCAACAACATGAGGTTGAGCTTTCTCCTGGCCAGCAGTCTCGCCTGCAGACGTAATGGCTCGTCTGTCTGCCTGTTTACCTTTGCCAACCGATCCCACAGTCTGGCGACCCTCGCGGGCATTTTGCATTCTCTCCTCACGGTCTAAGTTATCCAGCGGCTTCGGCTTTCCCCAGCGGACACGCAGAGGGCAGCCTCGAATGATGGCCTTTCCTTGGCAGTGGTTTGCGGCGGTTTCGGCGTCCGCGCGGTTGACGTAGTTGATGAAAGCACAGTGGGAGCGGTGGGAGCAAATAAGCGACCGAAGCTGGCCGAATTCGCTGAAAAACGTGCGGAGCGCATGTTCAGGGAGATCGTCTTCCACGCCTGTAATAAACAAGGAAGTGACATTGGGATCTGTAGGGGGAAGAATATCTGCAGCCGAAGGCGGCAACTGGGTGGTACTGGGGAATGGGCGACCACCACGGCCACCACCTCGTCCTCCACGGCCTGGAAGGCGGTTCCCGACACGGCTTTCACTAGTACGAACCGGACCGGGCCCATTTCCATAGCGGCTGTTCGTTCGTGGTTGATCCGTCGCCGTACCCTCCTCTACTTTCTCTTCCTCGGCAGGTGCTTCGATTCGTCGGGGCTTGCGGTAATATGGTTCGCTGTTTGCAAGGCGTCGCAAAAGCTCGCGAGCCTTGTCGTCTGTCTTTTCGTATTCTTCGATGGCACCACGTCCCTCTTCGATTTCTTTCTCGTTGTTTTGCGCGTAATACTCGCGATTGATGGAACTTTCCGGTCCTGGGGCGACCATTTTGAGAGCAGCATCGCGGACGGCAAGCGGAAGACCGAACGACAAATCTAGCATGCAGCATTGACAGCAGTTCTTCAGGCGCGCACATGTGAGGCAGATAATGGATCGCTTTTGGCGGGAGGTCCGATCGGCCTTCCAACGGAAGATAGTGAAGGGACGCGTGCACTAAATAGTTAGTATGCGGTTATAAATTGGCTTCCAAACAAGACTTACGATCTTGCATTCTGCGCCATGATCTTCCTTGATCATCTGCACGTAGGGATTTTCGGGAAGGCAGTTCTCACAGACGGATGGGAAGTCTGTAGACTCCCAGCCGGATCTGTTCAAATCATGCTTAATTTGGGGAGGCATGTCGGATAGTATGGAGTTAGTTGATCCGAGAGGAGAGAGCTTCCGAGATTGGATTATCAAAGATCGATAGAAGTGGCGTGTGGCGTGTGGCTAGTGAATCACGTGAACGTGTGCCTCAGATCACCTTTTTTCCCACCGGGTGGTCCAGCGTCCGACTCAGCCACAGGCCGGAAGGTGGTGTCCCGCGAGGAAAAAAGAGTGTGGCCACTCCCCAAACAGCCCCCCGGAGGACACTAAAGCTCGGTCTAGTCGTTCGGAGGAACCCCCTGATTGGCTCTCCACTTTGGATTGTCAAAAAGTTGCTTGGGATTCGGCTCTTATTTATTTCCCCTTTCTCCTACTTCTCCAAGTCGCTATCCATTCCCTTCAATTGTCCTCTCTTGCTTCGCTTCTCTTGTGGTATTTCCAGTCTTGGTTTACCTTGCTTTTTTCTCTTGGAAAATCTTGGAAATTGACGCTTTTTGCCTCCTTTTACAATCTACCCCTTTTAATCTTTGCGACTCGTTTCTTCACCATGGCTCCCTCTGCATTGGAACGTGAGGACAAGGCGCGTGATGCCGCCTTCAACAAGGTTTTGCACGGCAAGTCTGCCCAAGCCCAAGGTGGTCTCGCTGCCTTGCGCGGAAAGGACGCCGCTGCCCAGAAGGCTGCCGTCGATGAGTACTTCAAGCACTGGGACAACCAAGCTGCTGCCGACGAAACACCCGAGATCCGTGAGGTACGGCAATGCGCATCCAAAATACTGCATTATTATCACTAACAGTTCCTGCGTTATAGTCCCGCAAGGCTGAATATGCTACCTTGACCCGACAGTACGTTTGGAAACAAACCCCATTGATTGACGCTCCTCATACTGATGATTCTCTTACAGCTACTACAACCTGGCCACCGACTTCTACGAGTACGGATGGGGTTCTTCGTTCCACTTCTGCCGCTTCGCCTATGGTGAGCCTTTCCATCAGGCCATTGCCCGCCACGAGCACTACCTTGCCCTCCAGGCTGGTATCACGGAGGACATGAAGGTTTTGGATGTTGGCTGTGGTGTCGGTGGTCCTGCCCGCGAGATGGTCAAGTTCACCGGCGCTCACGTCACCGGTCTGAACAACAACGACTACCAGATCGATCGCGCTACTCACTACGCGCACAAGCAGGGCCTCTCGGACAAGATGGCCTTCGTCAAGGGCGACTTCATGCAGATGAACTTCCCCGACAACAGCTTTGATGCCGTGTACGCCATTGAGGCCACCGTTCACGCCCCCGAGCTTGTCGGTGTTTATAGCGAGATCTTCCGTGTTCTGAAGCCCGGTGGTACCTTCGCTGTGTACGAATGGCTCATGACCGACGATTACAACAATGAGGATGCTGAGCACCGTCGCATCCGTCTCGGTATCGAGCAGGGTGACGGTATCTCCAACATGGTCCGTATCTCCGAGGGTCTCGACGCCATGAAGAATGCTGGGTTTGATCTGAAGCATCATGAGGATCTCGCTGCTCGCCCCGACCCCATTCCCTGGTACTACCCGCTGGCGGGCTCCTTCAAGCACATGGGTTCTCCCTGGGACTTCTTCACCATCGCTCGCATGACCTGGTGGGGCCGTGGCATTGCCCACCGCTTCGTTGGTGCGGGCGAGACCATTGGTCTCTTCCCCAAGGGTTCACAGAAGACCGCCGACAGCCTAGCCTTGGCTGCTGACTGTCTGGTCGAAGGTGCTAAGAAGAACCTCTTCACCCCCATGTACCTTATGGTCGGCAAGAAGCCTGAGTAAATCCTGGGCAACAACGGTGTTAGCGGTCTTTCTGTATAAAAATATTACCCCCGGCGAGCACGTCCTACCCTGGTGCCACTCATCTTACTTTGTTTCATCTTCTTCTTCACGTTATCCTCCGCATGTCACCAGGGGATTTTTCTTGGCTCAAATCTGACCCGATGTCGGGAGAGAACGAGCCGCGTGCCGCTTTCTCCTAATCGATGGTGTCATTAATTTTCCCTTCTCTTGTTTCTTTTACCTGTCAAGATAGCAATGTAATAGTCATTGAGTCAAGAATAACGAACAAAGGATTGGTATTGTCTATGTTAGTTTTAAAACTGTCTCTTATGTATTCGCATCGCACATCCATGGATACTGTTAGAACTTGATACTATACATACCTTTGGTTGATTCCTTTGAAAATCACTGGCATGTATTCTTTGCAAGTGAGATTCTCATAGCGAGATTGTAACCAACGCACGGAATATAGCCACCTTCAGCAGCCAGGCGGAGAGTGGCTTTGCGCCCTGGCTCGTTCTGATGCTTCGGCTTTGCGAAAGTGGTTTCCCACATGATTTCCGGACGGAGAGCTCTTCCTAGAAGGTCCTTCATCATATCCAAATG